GAGGGGCTGCCTTCTCCCGGCAGACACAGGTCTTTTCCTGCTCCTTCCCTCCCGTGTCTGTCCAGCAGTGTCGGATCAGCTGGGGGGTGGGACCCTGCCCGGCCTTGGGGGGCTCCCTGGGCCGCAAGGGGGTGAGATCCAGGAGTCTCAGTGCAGCTGCGGCTGCTCCCCCGCGCCTGCAACACAAGCCCCAGTCGGGGCTGATGTTTGTGTAATCCTGGGCGCAGGCCTGCTGGGGCTAGAGTGTTTGGCCATCTTTCTGAGCTGCCGAGGCGAAGCTAGGCAGGCCCTAAAGGCAGAAGCCCCTGGTCCGGGGATCAGCAGCCGCTGACAGGTACAGCTTCTCGGCCGGCTGCTGGAGGGGTGAGTGGCATTTGTGCCCACCCTCCCTGTGGCATCCTGGGTCACCATCTTGGGCCTGGCTCTCCTATGGCAAAGTGGCCACTTTCTGGGAGTGAGAGGACGTCCCTGGGCTCATCCTGTGTCAGCTGTCTGTCCATGGCCCTTGGGGGGCGGGGTCTGGTGCTGACGGTCTGTCCTCCTGAAGCTGTCCATTGTCCCCCCCCTTTCTTGTCCTCACCTTTCTCCTATGGCCCTTGAGGACGGTCATTCCTCTCCCTAGAGTCCTGCCTGGTGCCCTCCCCTGTGAGGCTGTGGCCCTGGGCTCTGACTTTGCTGGGTTGACTGTGAGCCCTTGAGCTGGTTGCTTGCCCTCTCTGGGCCCTGCCTTCCTTATGTGGTTGGAGGGTCTCCCCAGCTGAGATGGGTGTGAGATTTTGATTCCTAGGCTGTTCTGCATTTCTGCCCTCTGAGACTTTTCAGGCCTACGAGCCCCTCGGAGCGCCCAATGATCTATATCCTCCATGCAGGTTGAGAGAGGGGCTTAGAGGGGCCAGGAGGGAGCTATGATCTCCCCACAACTTCAAAGGAAGTCCTTCTATGAGGGTTGCTGGGATCCCTGCTCCATGGAAAGGTTTGCTTTGCACTGATGCCCCAGGGACAGAGACATCCCCGCAGAGGGCACTGATCTGGCTACCCTGCCCCTGCTCTGCTCAGAGTGATTTCTCCCTTTGGCTCCTGGAAGGCACACAGCTGAGATCCCAGAGCTCCCGGGGTTCATGTAATTTTGGCTCAAACTGTTTTCTTCTCTTTCCTTCCCCTCTGCCACTCAGCTTGGTTTGGTGCCCATCACCTCCTCTTGGGTCATCCCCTGGGGTTGGCAGGGCTCGGCTCTCCTGGGGGCCCCTCAGATTCTGCCCAGGCCTTCCTGCTGCTGAGCCCCTGGCCTGGGCATTGGTCTCCTGCACTCCCCCCGTTCCCTGGCCCAGACCCGCAGCCGCCACGTGTGGGGCTGCCCAGCCGCTTCTGAGCCCCTGCGGCTTGTCACTAGGCTGGTCCAGCTCTTTCAGTCAGGGCTATGTCAGGGGCCGGGCTGCCCCAGGGCCCAGACGTCTGTGTACACAGCAGGCACCTGTGTCAGCTCAGTGTTGCTTCTGCTCAGTGTCTACCTCTTGCAGCTCCCATGTGGCCAATGTCCTTCCCAATGGCGGCTGCTGGTGGGGGTGGCTGATGCTGCCTCTGCCTTGAATCACCGGGCAAACTCGGTGCCCTGCTGGGGCTGGAGGGATCCGAGCTCCCTGCCCCGACCCCTGCTCTCTACTAGAACTGTGTCTTCTGCAGTCTGCCAGCTCCTGCCACATCCACCCCACCTGTCTGCCGGCTCTCTGCCCCACTTCTGGCACTGCATCTGCACCCAGGCCCAGAGCTGCTGGCAAGTCTGTTGGGATGGGGTGATCACCCTCAGCGTCCTCTCTGGTCCTGCCTCCTGGCGGTTCACAATGGGCCCATCCCTCCTTCAGCATTTCCTCCTCCTGGCTCTCCATTAGGCACCAGCTCTGACAGCATTGTCACCTCAGCTCCAATCCCGCCCCTCCTTTCCAAAATACACCCTGGGGCTGACTAAGTCTGATTCTCTGAAACTCCAGCTCCTTTTTGCAGAAACCACTGATACATCACTCTTAAATGCTGAAATAATTAACACGAGATGCTTCTCCCCCAGTTAGAGTCCCTCTGCCCTTTCTGAGAACTGCAGGTTGGGAGAAAGAGAGCATGTGGGGACCCTGGGGAATGTGGAGACTCGGGGAAGCAGGGTTCTGATGTTGTGGGGGTTGGAGCTGGGACGTGGGCCCCAGCAGGAGAACCTTCACCCTTTCCCTTCTGGAGCTCTGGATTGGGGCTCTGATGACTTGCACCTGAGATGCTGAAGGTGTTGTGAGAGCGAGGTATTGTGAACACCACGCCCTGGGAGCTTGGGTTGGGGTGTGTGTGTGTGTGTGTGTGTGTGTTTACCTGGGGGTTCTGTACAGAGATCAGACTCAGACAACTTGTGTCTGCATTCACAGCAACTCTGTAACCAATATGCACTTTCTCTGCTAGTGGTTTGTTTTGATTTTGTCCGTCCAGTTAAGTTGGAGAAAAACAAAGAACCAACTTGTGTTGTTCTCTGAAGGGGGTGCCGCTGCCCCTCCCCGAGTAGTTCTGTGGCCCTCAATCTGGCTGTTTGTTTTCTAGAGAATCCTTCCAGCTCCCGTGGGGCTGCTCCACAGGAGCTGGAAGACAGATCTTCCTGCCTGACCAAAGCTCCTTGTTTCTCGCGTGGCATGTTTGTTTTCCCCAATCTGGTGGCTGTCCCGACGGAGGGCCTGCCTGCCTGCTGCCTTCCCCTACCTTCGCCCTGTTGGGGTTCAGGGTGCATCTGTAGCCAGGGCCTCCTCTTCTGGCCTTGTGGCATTTTTCTAAAGATCTTGATGCCTCTCTTAAGCTCCGCAACAGATACGTTTAAAAAAGTAAGACTCACGCATGTGGATGAACGGCCCTCCAGTCTGGGTGCTGGGCCACAGAAAGCAACCCTGTGTGAACCCCAGTATTGCTGACATTACTGGGGGGCTCTCTGAAAGAGGGGAGGCTGGATCTCATGGTTTTTAAACTGTACTCTGACCACTTTGGAGCCCATGCCCATGCCCCGGAAATGTCCTGCAGATGAAATGGGTCCCGAGGTGGCGCCGGTTTTGCGGGGACACTGTCCCCCCAGCCCAGGTGCAGCCCCGCCCGGGAGGGGTGCCCTACCTGCGGAGCCTCGCAGCTTGACTGCGCCTTAAATAACCACCTTTCCCGCCAAATCCCCGGGGGTTTGGGTGCCAAGTGCTCTGGAAAACTATTCTCTATGGCTCAGCCAAAAGACACCTCCCCTCCCCTCCCTCTGTCCCCCCAGGGCTTGGGGGAACATTCTTAAAAATCCTAAGGAGGGTTAAGTCCAAGCAGTGAGGCCTGGCCAGGGTCCTTGTCTCCTGGCTGAGAAACCAGCAGGGTGGTTGGGGAAAAAAATCAAGAGTGTGACCCTAGCCTCCTCAGCAGGTGACACCAAGGAGGGGTGGGACAGGAGGGCGGCCCACTCACGAGGACTCCCACCCTCAGACCCCGCTGTCCTTTTCCGTTTGTTTTCTCAGTGGTGGCAGCCTGTCTGGTCCTGTCTGTCTGACTGTTCCTAAGTGTGTAACTCTCAGTATTATTTGTGGTGGATGGTTCTGTGGTGAAAAAGGTTTATTATCTTTCTCATGGCTGCCTTGTACAAAATCCGTTAGAGGAGAAAATGTAAAAATATCAGGTTTCTAACAAGACAAAAACAGCATTATGGAGTTAAAGATTTTTACAACTGGTCTTGATTTTGATGTGAGCTGGTTTTTAACTCTCAAACGTTGTCACTTAAATAAAAACCTTATTTGCCTTTAAAATGTGCTTTGCTCTGAATGAAGTGGAGAGACCCTCCCTGTTTGTGTTCTCCTTGAGCTGGGGGCAGGCATGCTCGGGGTGGGGAGGGATGAGGGGGACAAAGCTGGGCCCCAAACCACAGACCTCTTGCCCCTAGTGGGGTGGCAGTGCCAACCAACAGATGTCAAATGCAGAAAGAAGGTCTTTATTATGAAAAAGCAGTGGTATCTAGGAAAGTCATAAACTGGTTTCTTTCTAATAAAATGGCAAAGTGGATTTCTTAAATAATTTACAAAGGGCAGAAATAACTACTGGATGGGGCCATGCACCCACAGTGTCCTGTGCTGAGACTGTAACTAGGTACCTGGGACCCAGGGTCTTAGGGGATAGTAATCTCGCCCAGCTCCTCTGGGGCTTTGGTACAAGAACCAGAGCTGG